CCCTTCCCTTGCAGATCGCAGGTGTTGAGCACGTGGTCTTCGTGCAGACAAACGTCTTGAACTGGAAGGAGAGGACGCTCCTCATCGAAGCGCACAACGAGACCTTCGCCAACCGCGTGGTGGTGAACGAGCACTGCAGCTACACGGTGAGCCCAGGCCGCCCTCAGTGCCCACGCCCAGAACCCACCTGCGTCCAACACCCGTTTGCCCTTGGGACCCACCTGCCCCCTGCACCCACCTGTGCCCAGAGCTGTGTCCTCACATTCCTTGAGCCTCTGCCCAGCCATCCCTCCTGCCGCATTGTCAGGTAAGATGCAGGATGCTTGGTTGCCTTTGCAGTTCGGGTGAACAACCCATAAATTTTTTTAGTATGTCTCGAATATTGCTTGGGATATACTTATACTCAAATATTATTTGTGGTTAATCTGAAATTCAAACGTGACTGGACATCCTGCGTTTTATCTGCTAAATCTGACAACTCTATCCCCTCCCTCCTTTCCTTCCTTCTTTCATGAAACTATGCATAAGTTTCCTCACGTGTGAAATGGGCTTAATAATCATGCCTACTACATAGGTTGATGTAGGATTAAATGAACGAAAATACACAAACCCTTTAGACCAGTGCCTGGCACATATTAAGTTCTATGTAAATGTTACCTTTGAATATAATTAATAATAATAATTATTATTATTCTCTAATATATACTGGTTGAGCACCTACTGTGTGCCAGGCACCCTGCCAAGTGCTGAGCATGCAGCAATGGACCAGGCTGCCTGACCACTGCCCTCATGGAGGGTCCACTCCAGTGAAACAAAACAGAATCAGTGTGTATGCATTTGTCACAGCTGAGGCTGGATCCAGCAGGGGGATGTGTGGGAGTCAGAGGAGGTGGTGGGGGCACTGAAGCTGAGTGCTAAAGGATGAGAGAAGCTGCCCATGGAGGGCTGGGAACAGCATTTTGGGGGTGGGAACAGCATGAGTGAGGTCTGCCAAGGTGAGGCCACGGAGGCTAGATCTTGATGACTTTAGAGGCTGGAATGAGATACCTGCAGGCATTCACTGATGGCACCCAGCTCTGCCACTTTCTTGCTGAGTGACAATGGGCCACACCGTCTGTATCTGTAAAATGGGGACATTGGCAGATCCTGCCTTGTTGGGTCGTTTTCACAACGATAACTCCAGGATAGCAATGATAGACCACTGTACGTGGTTTTTTCTTTTTCTTTTTCTTTTCTTTTCTTTTTTTTTTTTTTTTGAGAAAGAGTCTCGCTCTGTGGCCCAGGCTGGAGTGCACTGGCACAATCTTGGCTCACTGCAACCTCCGCCTCCTTGTTA